ATATATATATATATATATATGTATATATATCTTATTTTTCAACTTATTAAAAGTATATATTCATACACCACCAATAAATTTTCATCATCCACCGAGAATTTTGAGGCGTGACATGAATCTCAAGGCAATCTTTTGAGTAAGAAACATCCACGCTTCAATTAGGAGTCATCCAAAATTTTGATTTCAGTAAACCTATAGTCGAACTGACCGGCTCCCTAAGGCTCGATAAGAAATACCCAATAAAAACTAGTACAATCCGAGTCAGATCAAACTCGTACCAAATCATAAAATCACTCTTAGAGGATTTGCAAAGGCATTTTAATGATCAAACAGATATCTAATCTAGTGAGTTCATAGTTGAATCGAGAGTCTCGATAAGAAAAATCTAACGAGCCCAAGTTTGCTCAATTCTGACATCGTTAAGACACTCAAATATCCATCAAATGTCATATGATCGAGGAAAGATCTTAAGATCGTCCGATCAAAATGGTTCATATTTCTGTATTAATTGCACACATAACACTATAAATATAGCCTCACCCTTCATATGAGGGCAGGGGTAGGGGACATGAGAGAGAATTTGAGACTTTGAAAATGAGTTCAAGTCCAACATCATCCATGCCATCATCAATCACTGTCGACCACCACCAATCACTACTAACCTTTGTTGACCACCGTCGACCGTTGTCCGTCGTTCACCCTGTCGACCACCGCTGACTATCATGGACCACCGTCGACCGTCGTCCGTTGTCAACCACTGTAGACCTCCATCGACCATTGCCCACCGTCGACTTCCGTTGACCCCCTCCATTTATCGTCGATCACCACCAACCATCATCAATCACCACCAACTTGAAACCGCCAGTCGACGCAATAATCTGAAATTCTAGTAACTATTTTCCGTCTGTGGGACAAGGGGCCTTTGTAATCATCAACCTATGATGAACTTTTATAACTAGGTCAGATCCTGTGGTTTTTTTCCTTTACGGGTTTTTCACATAAAAACTTATGGTGTCATCAGATGTTGTTTCACTTTTCATCTGAGTGTGTGTTGTATCATCATGCAACGCTAAGACGATAATCCATTACTCTACCGCCGTGAACTTTCTAGCACGCATCAACCTGTTAATGGGGTCAACTCACCCCTGCTTCCTGATTTCAATTAGCATAAAAAATTATTTTAACACTTAATTATACATTCAATTATATATATATTAATAAAAAATTGTAATAAGTGTAAAATAATAATAATAATAATAATAATAATAATAATATATTTTGAAGGGCATGACAGTTCTAGCGTAACCGTTGAGACTGTTCTACAATTAAGAGATTAAAGTTTTATTAAATCATAATCAAACCAAACAAATCAGACAGACGAGAGTGAGGAGAAATCAAGATGCAGAAACGACGACTTGTATATATTGAAATTTAGTGGTGCCGCAAGCCGTGATCTATTGATTAGCGAGGTTCACTTTAAGTTCCCTCATATTGGAGATGCTGGCTTCTCGAATTTTAGGCACATGCTGCGGGCTCTCATCATAGGACCTAGCATATGAAAAATTGATATATGAGCAACCATCAGATGTCGGTTTTCTTTCACTTTGAGCATATGTCATGTCAAATACCTAAAGTCAAAAGTGAAAATTTGAAAGTTTTATTATTTATTATTTATTTCTGCTCAACGGTCTCAATCCTTCAAAAAACAAATAAAAAGCACATGGCCAACATTATTAACTTTATGACGGCATGAAGGCGACAAACTAACGTTCTCTTTTTTTGAGTGAGTAAAAAATTCTCTCTAAAATCATAGGCACTTTTAAAAATTTCGAATCATTATATTCTCAAATGCAAATTTACTCATATACCCTTACCCCACACGCCCGCATAGCATCTGTACTTATTAATTCGCTCATGATAAATTCCAAAATTGCAGTTGTACCTAACAATAGGTCAACCTCGTAAGGGGTTGCAATATAAATAATAATAGTAATGATACGAATAAATAAAATATTGCAGTAAAGCTGATGTAGAGCGAGGAATCCGAGAATTTTACCAATTAATTAAAGTTGTAATTAAAAAAATTATGTCAGCAGATGTTGCTATATTTTTTTTACACGATATTTTTGAAATTATGATACATAACATTTCAAAATTTAAGCTATGTGTTTAATTAAGTTATTTTAAATTCTTTTATTAAAGGATTTTTATTTAATAGCTTTTTAATGATGAGATTTTAAATTCTTAAAACATTTAAGTTATAATTAAAGAACAGTTGCAGCCATAAATTTATAATTTAGATATAATAAATAAGAAAATAAAATAGCAATTTAGTTAAAAATAATAATAAAATTGAAATATATTTATATAAATGTGAAGTTGAGGGATAGATGATAGTAACAAAGATAATTAATATTTTATTAAACTGTTGAATCTTTTTATGATGCAGGATCACATATCAGTCTCGAGTATACACAACCAAATGAAAATACCTTGTATCATATAGAGAATGCTTGGAGAGAGAGAGCGCCTCGAGCTTATCGAGAAAGATGACTCCTTGAAAGTTTCCTTTGTTACAGAATTTCCTTGAAAGGGGGAGAGATGGGAGCTCAAAGATAGAAAAAGTCTCCGGAGAGTAACTGAGTATTTTTTAGATATTCTTCCCCTCTTTTATAAATCAGAGAAAGAGAGAGCGCTAATAAAATAATAAAACCAGTACAACATTGTATTAACACGATGTCTTTCCATAGTGTTGGAATGATTGTTATGTTGATGCTATGTACTACCAACTAATATTACATATTGTCAATACAACATACATACTAATATATTGGAAAAAGGCATTTGATCCTCGGCGTTGGGCGACACAATTACTAACGAATGTCATTGTCGATTCTACAACCACTTCAGCAGATGGGCTAATTCAGCTACTTTTGCAAGTGGCATAAGTCTCACCCATTCAACAAGTGGGCTTGATCCATCCCGTTGACAGGTGAGCTCGACTCATACACTACGGTACGTGGGTTCGATTTTATTACTTCGGCAAGCCGACTCGACCCAGACTCTATGGTATGTAGGCCCAATTTTAGTATTTCGGCACGTAAACTCAACTCAATAATTAAAAAAAAAAGCAAATTTTTTTGTATATCCGTATTTGTGCGCACATAAACAATTATTATTTGTGGACAAAAGCTTTTCAGTTGACAGGGCATAACTGCAAAAGTATTTCCATCCAGGTGCTATATTTGTAATAGTTTGGCTTCTTGGGTCGCTTCACTAGTTATTCTCACGTGCACCGGGCCTGCGGCTCCGACCCGGCTTTGCTTTGAATAATTCAGTAAATCGGTTCCACCAAGCTAGAAAGACCGGGTTTAGCCGAATTAGAAAGACCGCCTTCAGCCCAGTATAAAATGACCGGGTCTAGCGTTAACGGCGTTCTTTTACGGCGTTATGCAGCCGCCGTTAAGTTGCAAATTTTAACGCATAAATGCGCATTATATTCCTTAATTTTTTATAAGGCCCGAAGGAATATAATTATAATTATAAAAAAAATAAGAATTTATAAATAGATGACTTTCTGATGTTGTCTTTAAGCACTGGCATTATAGAATTATCATTTAGATCAAATTTACATATTTTCCGACCGATTAAAATCATTACAAAAATTTAATAATTCAAATTTACACAATATCAAACTAAAAAAATAAATATATTTTTTTAAATTCCAATATTAATATAAAATTTGTCCAAAGAGATGAATTTCCTTTTTTTTTTTAGTGCAGAATAACTAATGCACAATCACAAAGAAATACTTATATATATTTACAAATCTAACACCTAAAATTTCATATTAACATTCATGTATGACACACTTAGTATAATAAAACAGCGCATGAAAATATGTA